AAGGAAAATTCTTTTTAAACAGTCCTTCATCACCTTAGACGAAATAGGGTGAATACATCTCATTATAGAGTCTTTGGACCAATTATATCTGGACTTTGTGAACGAATCAGAAGCCGACATTCAAATAACACAATTCTTTGGACCGGAACACTAAGCGACTTGATGACTTATCCAGGGCCCCGCCTCTCTTATGGTGACTGATTTGTCATCAGATACCGTCATCACCATCAGCGTTCTCCCCTGCATCAACGGTTTGCTGCAGGTTCCACTCCGAGAAAGTCGTGAAGCTCTTCACAACTTATCACCTATTGAGGCCAAACACACTCTCGAGCACCGTTCCTTCCTTGGTCAACATCAGCGACTGTGCACGTTGGACGGAACTCCGTGAAGGGAGGAATTCGCCCAGCCAGCGTCTGATTTCAGTGAAAACTTTTTCAGGCCTGGCTAGATCCTGCTCAGCCCAGTCGTTGCTGAAGGCTTTTGAGGGACTCGTCTAAGTGTGTTCAGGAGGAATGTGGAGAGCAGTCGAGTCAAGACCACCAGGTAGACGTGTCCAGTGAATGAAACGGATAATCCTGGAATACTGTGACATGACTTTCCATTTTTAAGGAAGAGTTTGTTGGAAAAAATGCTTGATGTGATCCCATCGGAAACCGAGGGGGAATTGTCGCCTAGTAAGGACTGTTATATTGTGAGAAGAAGTCATCTTCTCGGCAGAGCAGAATACATACTTTACAAAATAGAGCATATATATAGTAAAGAATGTATATTTTTGTACTATTTCGTAAAGAATGGATTCTTGCTCCGAAGCTGTTTGTCCCGGTGGTACAGGCGAGAGTATAGCGCAAGTTCATCATATTCGCAGGGCGGTGAGATGGAGACTTCTTACAAAATATAAGAGTCGTCACTACGCGGTGATTTTCTTTAGTTTTCCGGGGCGACCACATCAAAAAGTCCTAAAAACAAACATTTCATTAAAAATTGAAAGTCAATTTACAATATATCACTAAGGAACTCTTCAAAACCAAGTTTTATTCATATGCGAATAATCCTGGTAGCCATGATATCAGGCAAAAAGGCTAGATTTATTATGAAATTAATAGAGAATCAGATCTTGGACGATAGACATACGATTTTACCTGCCAGCAATCGTCTAGACTCTGCTCCCGATCTGATTCTGGCACTATTTGACCCAAGCGGAGCTGATCCAATTTATCGGCCAATGACGGTGCCTAAGCGAGATAATTTTGGCAATCATGGCCTGAGCTTCAGAAAGAAACTCCCTGGCAGTTTCTTTGCTGCTACGGTCTGGAAGTATGTAACTTAAAAACAAGGATCCTCCGTGACAAAAGTAGGCAATATTTGTGACTTATCCTCTCGGACTAGAAGCTATGTCTTCACACCTCGCATTCACATTCACCTCTACGCACAGTTGACAAGAATGACTTGCCTCAGGCTGTCGAAGTGGCGGCCAAGACAACCGTTGCCACGACGTGGTCTGCTCCGCTTTCCCCGTGACTCTGAGGGCTTGTCCGCTGAGGCGTCTGTAAGTGGCGTCCAAGTGACAATCGGCGACGCTTGGAGCTCGTTTTTTCGTCCAAGTATGACCAGCCATCGTGACAACGGGCAAACGAGTTTGGTGCAGCGGCTGCAATACTGCTGCATTCGCCGTAGTAACCGCCGACCTGGAAGTGGCTAGCCAACTATCGGAGCTAGACATGTTAACCTTGAATTTTGGCTGCTTGAGATGCGGATACTGTGGATAGTTTGGGCGCCGTTGTTGGCGCCGCCACCACGGCGAAAGCCCAGGACGAAGGTGTCTTTTAGATGAGATGGGATTCGTGCCCTGACTACCACTTAGCGTGGGTTTACTACTTGAAAGAAGAGTAGTTGCAAAATTAGTTTCATGTTGAGTGATTCGGTCTGTTGAACCATCACCAGTGCCAAAGTCAACTGTCACTTCAGCGCCATTTTGTGCAATCTGCCGATTGTTCGGACTTAGGCTCAGCGGGTCAAGTACTACTGGCTTGGCCGAATCGGGCTCAATCTCAAGATAACTATGAGAATGAGGACGATAGAGGTGACGATGATTATGACGATGATAATGGTGGAGTTGATGATTAGATGAGTGTAGGCCTTGCGGTTGGTGAACATAAAGATTTTGGTGAACAGGTACATCGGAAAATCCTAGCTCTAGTGCTGAGACGGGCAAACCGGACACCGAGCCAAGCTTGCTGGTGGTATTAGAAGAGATGGAATCAAGCTGAGAGTGTAGTTGAGACTCGGAGTCAAAGCCGTCTGCATGCGAGAAGAGATGGTTGCGAAGACGGAGACGAACGCTACGAACATGGTGCTCCTTTTCGCTGAGACTGTCTGCCATGTGGGCCTGTAGATCGGTTGCCAGGTTTTCGATGCTCTGTATGTGCATAAAATTCGTGGTTCCATGGGCATGATTGCGAAAATGTATGAAAAGTGATTAGATAATGCAAAGTTTTTCTCCACATTAAGTGGATGAAACAAGTGTTTGGTCAATCGCAAAGCCAGTTTCAACAATGTTTGCAGGAATGTTTGCAACAGTACAAAGGGTCAAATCGGAAAGAGAAAGGGATTTTATAAACTGCATTTATCAACATGAAATATTGCCATTATGAAATTGCTAAAACTCCGTTGATGACTTGACCTTGTTTCAGCAATATGTTTGTATTGCCATAGCGACCTGGATGAAGGCACCTCGCCAGAATTCAATTACCATTTTGGTCAAGATAATTTCTAGTAAGGCTTGATGAAATAAAAGGAAGCGTAAGGTCTACTTATAACATTGTGAACCAATTCAACTACCATTCTCTCATCGCCTTAAACGAAATAAGATGAGCCCATCTCATATGCCTTATTTACATGTAGGCTCAAAAGCTCACTTATAAAAGAAAGATAATTCCCAGCATCGAACCCCTAAACCTAACCCTAACCTTAACATAAGCGATATTTTCAGATAAGCTAGTTCACCTAATCCGACTGTTTCTGCTCCAAGGCTTTTGATTTAGACTGTATTGTTTAAACCTAAGTTTATGCTCCTCTGATATTTCCTCAGTTTAACAGTTAGCCAGATTAAACTAACGTGTGATCATAGAGTTGGTTCCCTTAATTATTTATGAAGAATTAAGTCAAAATCGTGATTTCCGACCTAATCATTATCATCATAAAGACAACTTACCATCGCCATCTTCGAGTTCATTGTTGGCGGAGACTGGGGTGAAGAGATGTTGAGAGAAGAGCTCAGTGAAGAGGTACTCGATAATGGAGTGTTGTGTCGCCCAAAGGGCAGTCCCAACGCATCTGCCGGAAGACCTCTACCCAGCAGATGCTCACCCACCTCCTCATCTACCTCCATTTGTATTTCCATCTGCAAATAGTTTGGTGTTTGTGCCAATTCTTTTTCCGCGCTCCAATTCAAGCTGTTTGTTAAAGCCGACTGTTGACCAAAGTGTCCGCCCACTCTAGAATCAAGATCCGAGTCCACAAACGCCGGTTCACTCGAACTCAGGCCAATCAAAGGACAACATAAATCTTGAGTTTGTGAAAACACTCGTTCGCTAACAACTTTGTCCGAATGTATTTTGGCTTCGAGGGCATTGCGGCTGAATGGTGTGAGCTGACGGAGGTCAATCGCAAGATGTTGGGCCTTATTCTTTCCGTCGTCACGATCGCTCAGGTCACCTCCACTTGCAATTACCAATCCTTGTTTCGGTTGTTCGAATCTTTGGCAGCCAATGCAAAAATCATTCTCGTATTTCTCAGCAGTTGGTGCAGGGTCCAGACGAAGGGGACATGAAATTTTACGCAGGGCTCTCGCAGGCCGGTGGCGTTGGCTTATAGGACGGCGGGAAAGCTGGTACCTGTAAATGAGGCCTGAGCCACGTGGTAACTGTTTGAATAAAAAACGATTATTTTGGTTTTATATGTATGATTTCGCGACTATCTGTTGCACTTGAATAATAACTGTGTAAACGCTATTCCATTTATGGTAATAAAGGATTGTTAGTTTAATTTCTCCACACTTTTCTATCGAATTTCACATTTCACACACACACACACACACACACACACACACACACATATATATATATA